CCTCTCAGTATTCACAAGCCAAACCTCCTCCTTTTGAGACACACACACACACAAAAAGAACGCTTCTGATTAATAATCTCTTATGGCACACCGAGGCCGAGGCCGATGGCAGGGAACCCCCGGACGCCAGAGAAGGGCGCAGAATCCTCAATACACAGTCCAAAGACGAGATAACTGCTAGCTTTCCGAAGGGGAATAATGTTTGGCAAGCGATGCTTTGGAAACAGACAACCACGTACAAATACGGACTCCTTCCTGGGCCAGGGGAGGGGGGCGGTCGCGATCACCCGGCATCTCTGCGTGCAGATGTGTGTACCAGACGGTATGGAGATGGCGCGTGTGGCCAGGCCCAGGTTTCTTTTCTTTTTTTGAGGCAAGAAGTTGAAACCCATCCACTCTTTGTGTGGCTAGCTCCCACGAAGCTGGGGTTTCAACCTCGTATCTTTAAAGCCACTGTAGAGCCCCGGCTGGGGATTTTACCAAGATGCTCCCTATGCCCGGTCGCTGCCCACAGCACGTGAAGAGAAGAGAAAGGAGAGTTGTGGCTTCGAGCCACTTCCGTCGGGGCCCCGCGTTGCGCCCCAACAAGCCCCCCTCTCCTCTTTCTCTCCCCGAAGGCGCTCCCATAGGCCGGCCAGTGTCGCCGCGGTCGTGGCCAGGTGAGCGAGGGAAGAGTCCCAGGTGGGTAGCGGCCCTCCCTCGGGAGCTCTGGCAGGTCTGCGAACCCGCCGGGCGCGGAAGGCGGAGTGGCGCGGGGGGCCAGCGCGGGGCTCCTGGCTCGGGCCAGCAGGGGAACAGCGACACCTACTGGCTGCGCGGGCGCCGCGTCGTGGCCGTCGGGGCGGCCCCGGGCTGGGGGCGCTCGGCGGCGTGGACGGCGAGGCCACAGGAATGGGCGCCCAGGGCTCCTCCTGCCCCGCTAGGCCTCGCCTGCCCCCAGGAAGACAAAGCCTCAGTTTCTAGGAACTCCTCGGGCGGTTGGAGGATGAGCCTGAACAATCACGCGGGTACGCACGCTTCCCAGCCTGAGAAGCGCTTCCCTTCTGAGTACCGAAGGGACCCACAGTACAGTGGGTCACCGTCTCCGAGTTTTACGAGAGACTCCGACTGAGCTTGAAACCCTGACCTCTTCGGGTTCATGACCCAGGCCTCTTCTCCGCCACCCCTATTTCAGTGCTGACTAAAAAACGGTATCTTTGCAAATTAGGAACCTAGGAAGGTTCATTATCCTCCCTTAAGAGGAGAAATGGGCGAGTCAAGGACACAGACTCGCTGTCAGTGGCTGGCGCCTGGCGCGCAGAGCAGCCCAGCCTTTATGCTCGCCAGCCTCGCGCACCTTGAGCTCGCTCTCGCCGCTGCCGAGGATGGAGACTGGGTGGTTTTTCTTTAAGGGCTATGATCTTCTTAATTACTCCGGAAGTAAAGGCAAATTTGGGGTGATGGTGATATTTCGAGACCTAAGGGTATATATAGATCCTGCTAAATGTAAATGTAAATGCTTCGATTGTTGGTTCTAGTTGGAAAGGGTGGGAGAGGGTGCCACGGGATGGCGCGAGGCCTGAGGGAAACCTAGGAAGTATGTGGATAGAAAGAAACCAATTCCAGTATTCCATACTTACTTTCTCTAATCAATCTTTTCTGTTCAAGCAGAAAAGCCATTTCATGTGAAAAGGAAGTGGTCCCAGCAATGGGGGGAGGAAAGAGGGATCTTAGTCTCCTTTTCTCCCTTCAGATACCTCAGAACAAATTTCCCGTGTTTGGCTCTGAGTCTCACCTGGGCCTAACAAACCTGATTTAGTGTGAACTCGCTTAAGTATTACAATATATATTTCTTCTCCTAGAAAGACTGGAGTATTTGAACTAATATGAATCCTTGAGATTAAAATAATACTCATTAAAATCGCAGAATTTAAAAAAACTTTGCATAGAAAGTTTGAGTTCATCTTGGAAATTATTTTAGTTAGCTTTAGGTACTGATTGAAACTAGGGTCTAAAGTGATTTGAGGGGTGCCTGGCTGGTTCAGTCAGTAGAGCATGGAACTCTTGAATCTCAGGGCGTTTAGTTCAAACCCTACGTTGGGTATGGAGCCTACTTAAATAAATAAATAAATAAATAAATAAATAAATAAATAAATAAATAATCGAAGTTGAATAAGGTGAAATTAAAAATAAATAAAGTATTTTGAGGAAAAGGGGGAAAGGAATCTTGTTAGGGCTAAGTTTTTGTCTGTATTCCCTACAGTTGCAAAGTTTCGCTAATTCTGTTTTGTTTAAATAAGGTTGGAATCTCTCTGGTGCCCCTAAAGTCAAGAGTTTTAGAACCAATCCCTTCCTCTTTTTTTTTTTATTAAAAAGTATCTGAACTGCTCTAGAAGCCTGCTTCTCCACTATTTGCAAGTATTTTCTTCTTCTTTTTTAAAATTATCCTGCAAGTCTATCTGAATGTATTCTAAGAATATATGAATTCACATCTCAGAGCAGGCCCTTGGCAGTTTGTATGATGTATAATAAAACCTGTATTACTAATAATGAATAAAATAGAGCTACATCCTAATGACATTTCTCTCAATGAATCCTGCACCTCACTGCATAACAAAGTCAACTTTCTCATTGTAAAATGGAAACCTTCACCAAAAAAGAAAATGATTACAGTAAAATTAAATTAAATGGGCACACGACAAGCACCCATCCACCAAACCCAGTTCAGAGGTCTCTGGGTATTGAAAGCACTTTGGAAAATGCAGGAGTTGAAATGTTTTCCTTTCTTGGGAAGCATTACGTTTCTAGTTTCTAGAATGTAGCTTCATTTGTGATTTGAAAATCTTAGCTAGAATAATTCCTCATTGTTGCTTGATATTCTTTGGTTTTATTGACATCTAAAATTTGTTGATTTATTATTAAAGAAAATAAAAGAAATAGAACTTATGTGTCAAAATGGTGGAAATTCTCTGTATACCTAATCACCCCCAAAGCATAAGCATGTTAAACCCTAATAAAATTCAGGAGAAAATTAGGCCAGTGAAATTCTTATTCCACAAGAAATGTGAATGTATACGTACTATTATATGTAATGTAATATATAGATATATATCCATGAGTTTTACAGTGATGTGTGTGTGAACTAAAGGTGGAGATGAGGCCTCTTATTCTATTTAGGTCTTCTTTAGTATATTTCTCTTTTAATTCCTCTTTCTTAGCAAGAAAATTAAGGAATGAAGACAGGCTAAGCTATCATTAGACTGTATCTGTGTTCCTTTGTCACACCTGCCCTCCTCAGGGCTTGCCTGGGAGGAGGTGTGTGTGTGTGTGTGTGTGTGCACGCACTTCCCTTCCTGCTTGTTGAGGAGCATGAAGGAAGAAAGGGATGCAAGGATAAGAATATTGCTCAGAAAGGCACATCACTGCCGGTGAAAAAGAGATGGATACATTAGAAACCCCACTAAATCCCAGCCAGTTGGTTATCTGGGGAGGGGAGGCTTGTGTATGGTAAGTGGCAGGCTGACTGCAAAAACTGTTTCGGGGAGAGAAGAGAGACTCTCTGCCTCGGGAGTGGCCTCCCTTTTAGCTTTGGTGAAATCCACAGAGGCTCAATGATGTTTGGTTTCAGGGAGTAGAGCTCCAAGGACACCTGTGTGCATTTGGCTGGAGACAGGTGTATGTGTGTGTGTGTGTGTGTGTGTGTGTGTGTGTGTGTGTGTGTAGGGAAGAAGTAGGTGCTTCATCACAAATTCATTTGAAAATACATTGATTCTAAAATTCTGCCATGTCATCAATTGGTGTCAGGCACCAAGGTCACTAACATGTCCCAGGTTCACTCATGGACGGCGACATTATTGCTTTTGATGGTATGAATATGGCTTCTTTCATGTCTTTGGTTCTTTATGGTACTTCCTTAGAGTGGGGCGAGGCTCTAGCTTCCCCCTCCTCCCTTCTTCCCTGCAAACAAAACCATTCTACCACTTGAGCCATCTGCCGCAGGTGTAATGGATGGCAGGGTGCCGACCTAACCACACTTCAGTCTCTTCTAGGTCGTCACCGCTCTGCACCAAACAAATGAGTCCTGTTTCGCCACTAGGGTGCCGAGGTGGATGGTGGATGCCGGCCCCCGCCCCTGGCAGCGTTCAGTGCTTAGAAACCAGAGCCAGCTGACAACACACGAAACACACAGGCACAGAGAAAACGCCGAGCCAACGCGCGCTCCCTCAGCCCCCTCCCTCTGCTCTCTGTACACATGGAGGACACGTACACACTCTTTACACATTTAAAAGCCCTCGCGACTATGAATTCTTGGTTACCTATGATGGCCTTCCGGACTGCACATAGCCCCTGGTGTGTGTGTGTGTGTGTGTGTGTGTGTGTTTGCGCGCACGAGCGCTAATTTGCGTGTGTGTTTAAAACGCTTATTGGTAATCAGGAGCTGATCAGACATAGTAATCCAATAATCTTTTTGAATACATACAAGTTTTCGTTAAAGGTAATTGTTTTTTAAAGGAAAAAAAGAAAACTGTCAATTCCTTGCGCAAATCTCTGGTTCCCAATTTAGGTTCCAGGGAACCGCAGAGCTGCGCAGTCCCCTCCTAGCCAAACTTTCCCTTTCCGAGGTTTGAACGAGGCGCAGATTGTCACTTCATGACAGAGCAGGATCTCATTTGCACGCAAACGTGTAAAAGAGAGGAGCTGTGGGAACGCGCAGCACAGAGTGGGAAATCGGGTGGCTGGAAACCTCCTGTAGTCGACTCGAACCCTGGCGGGACTCACGGGGTGCCCCAGGGCAAGAACCCGGCGTGCGCCCTCCCAGGCTCACCGCTGCCTCTCGGCTCCCGCCCTCGGGCTGGAGCCCTGCCCGCCGCCCCCACCCTCGCCCGCCCGCCCTCACCCCACCTCCATTTTTAACATTATTTGAGTAGCCCTAGGTAATGGTGCCCACCTCTCGGGCCTGGGCTATGGGCGAAGGCTGGACCCTGCCTGGAATCGAACTCCGCTGTTCCCAGGGTACTTACCTCGAGCGAGGCCCTGGCAAAGGGTGGCCCAGAAGCGTCAAGTTTCCTCTCCCAGCCGTTGTGCCAGACTCCCCTCCTGCCTGCCGCTCCTTTCGACAGGCTGGTCTCTCCCTCCCTCCTTCCCTCCCTCCCTCCCTCTCTCTCTCTCTGTCTCCCCCTTCTCTCTGTGTGTGTGTGTGTGTCACACACGAGGATTACTTGTGACTTTTAGAGGCAAAAGCTTGCTTATTCAGAAGAGAAAGGGAGGGGAGACGGAAGGGAGGGAGGAGAGGGGGAGAGAGAAATAGGATGGAGGACGAAGGGGAGGTGGAGAAGCAGAGGTAGTGGAGGCGTAGGTGGAGGAGGAGGAGGAAGGGGAGGAGGTGGAGGGATGGGAGGGGTAGGGTGGAGTAACCGAAGATGGGCTGGGACGGGACGCGAGGAAGAAATTGCTCCCCACCGGCTGCGGTGCGACGCCCCCAGCGTCCCGGGGGAGCCGGTGCGTCAGATCTCGGCTGGCCGAGGCGGGGCCGTACAAAAGCGCCGCGGGACCCCCTTCGCAGGCTTCCACCCGAGCGCACCGAGCGCCGGAGGCCGCTCCACGCTTCAGCTCGCGCCGCGGAGGGCTCTCCTTCGCCCGGACAGGGGCGGCTGTCTAGGGGCTCCAGGCTCCACGGAACTTTGATTTCGTTCCCGGGCGCCTAGCCATCGTCGCCTGCGTCTCCGACCAGAAAGGGAAGCCCGCGCAGTGCCCGCGCGTCCGCCCCCGATCTCCGGCGCCCACCTTAGCCGTGGCGCCTGGTGCGCGCGACGCTCGCACGCGCGGCTGCCCCACCGCCCGGGCTCAGCCTCAGTCCTGCGTCTCTGTTCACAACCGGGGCATCCCCCTCAGCTTAATTTTACGGAGGGGCCTGTGTGTGTGTGTGTGTGCGTGCGTGCGTGTGTGCGTGTGTGTGTGTGTGTGTGTAGCGCGCGCACACTCCAGGCTAGAAAGAAGGTGAAATCCTGGCACGAAAAAGTAGCTTCGGTCTCCTGCAGCTTGGAGCCCACGACCAAGTCCGATCATATCCAGTATTTTGAGATTCAGCAGCAAGGACCAAGGCGGGAGCTCACCGGATCATTTCGACCGAGTTTCTATACAGCAAGGATTGTTTGTTATTGTTATTAAACACGAAAATAGGCTTTAAAAATAAAAAAAAATAGTTGCTTAGAAGGAAGGGGGACATTTTAGCAATGGTCAGGAACCAAAAGTTGTTGAAATGGTTTTCTTGCACAAGAGCATCTATAATGGTTAAAGGTGGAAGGCTCAGACTGGTAGAAAACCGTTTTATTACGTGACGGGATTAAAAAATAGGAGCATGCTTTTTCGGCAGAGACGACCCATTAGTTCTGTTAAATGCATTAAGCCAGCCCAATGGAATGATTACATGGCAGCCTTTAATGTACAAATGGGATAGTACAAGCGTTCTATGTACTATGGGGTGCGCACAAGCGTTCCTAGAATTCTCTGTGTATACAACACACACGCTTCTATAGAGAAAAGTTTAAACACCAGCACCCTAAACTCATAAAAAAATGTATATTTTCTCAAACTATTCCTCAAATAAGGTAATTATCCTCTGCATTTCCTTGCTGACCTGTAGCTGCGACGTTACAGTTATCGAATACGGTACCAGGATCGACATAATTCTGCTTACATTTTATCGCGGGTGGCACGTCATAAAATGCCAGAGGGGGAGGGGAAACCTTGAGGGGCGGGGAGAAGAAGGCTTTTATTAACAATTATATTCTCCCATAGCAGTTTAATTTAAATGATAGCAATGATGTCACAGTAACTATCTTCCTTCTCCCACTGCAGTGAAACCACTGGATGGTTTGGTGAACAATGCATTTGTATATTTAGTTAAGGGATTATTATTGCAATAGACTTGTAGACTTATCCTTTGGCATAAAAAAAAAAACAAACCTCTGAATGTTACACTGCTCAACATTTGGCATGTTTTAGAACTCATTTACCTGCCAAATATTGTTCCAGAATAAGGATGGTAAAAAAAAAAAAATTGCTAGTTTGTGCCTACCACAGTTTTGAAAGAAAAGGGAACAAACGAAGTTGTTCTTTAAAATTGTATGGAAATGAAATTACTTCCCCTCAGTAAAAGGAGCTGGTGTGCAGTCTGTTAAATATGGACCATATTTTACCAATCCAAAGTGGAGTTTAAAAAATTCTTTTGAGGACCGGTGATAGGAGAGGAAGTAGGAAGCACGCAGACCCCAGCCCAGCCTGCACAAGTGGGTCGGGATGCTAGGAGCATGCACGCCGCGCACATCAGCACCCCACCCCAGAGTCCTCACACACCCGTGCGGTTTGGAGCTTGTTTTCTGAGGGTGAGAGTGCAGTCTCCGTGGATCAGTAACACATTTACAAGTGGGTATTTGTATACAGGCAGCGTTCAGGCTATAGTATAATGGTATGATGGAGAAAGAAGTCATTATTTCATTATTTAACAATTGCTTAATAATTAAACTGCTCTGCTTATTGAATACCCTTTTAGAGAATGTGCTCTTTCTTTGAAATTGTTAGCCAATGTTTGCTTCCAATCCTGAGGCCTCAGGATTAGGATCCCCAGAGGCAGGGGAGGGAGCTCAACTAGGTACAGCTCTGAAATACAGAACAATTAAGGTGAAAGAAACTAATGGATTATTAGATAGGAAGAAGATGACAAAAGAAATTTTGGTTTTTATATTTTAAAAGGCTTAATGTTGTGCAAAACTTTTCTTCCTTCCATTCTAAACAGTCAACTTTATGAATTGCATTTCTTTTTCCCCCTACTCAATCGTCTACGACAACCTCGGAGATTTCATTTTCTTTACTACCAAAATGCCCCAAAATGTCTGAATTCAACACTCAATAGCCACTGATGCCCCAATGATGTACCGCCTGCCCCTTTTGAAGGTTTGGGACCTTTTAGGAGGACTCAAGGCAATCCCCAAACAGAAACTGGTCCCATCGTGACTGCACTGATGAGTGTGCTCTATGTTTACCAGTTTTTTAAGCACCATGTGATTACAGCGGAAAGGTAACTTGAAAACACAACCTGATTCTGGGCAAAATCATTTTGTCCTTTTGGCATGAAAATATAGCTCTATCTCCAAGTTCCTCCCAGGAACAGACGGCTGCATGTCAGGGCTGGTCCCTTCCCAGATCACTACAGGATCTTCAGCTGGAAGATGAGATCCAGCAAACAGAATTCGTGAAGAAACTCCCGAGCGTTTCAAAAAAGGGTGGGGGTGGGGTGCTTCTTCCTGATTCTTTTGCTAAGAACTCCTGTGATAACAATCAGTAGCTTCCGTAGCACCAAGGAAGCAATAATTCACCACTAAACATTTTTGACCAGGGGATATTAATGGAGCTAGTCTAACCTTTGTTTAAAAAAATTTTTCCCCATAGATATTACTCTTCTCCCTGCTTATCTTCACAAGATTTTTTTAAAAAAAAATTTCACTTATTGGTAATCATTGGTGCTACAATTAACACAGGGGGTACAGGACACTTCAGGATCATGAAAATATCAGTGTAAAGGGTTTGCCAGCTTTACCTCTGTATATGAGAGCTACTCTAGAGAGAGAGATTTTTATTTGTGTAGTTGCAACCCAAGTCTTTAAAAGTGTGAGTCTTCAGTTGAACTCATCAGTCCAAATTAAGGAGTTGGGATACATGCCCATGTCTCCTGTAAATAACCACTTGGACACCCAGCCTGTGGCCACTATCTCACAGTAACTGTCATAATTCTCCCAGCCTTTGTTTTTAGCCTTCCTTTCACCTTTAATGATATGACAATGGTCACTGAACACGGAGATTTAAATTGAGGCTTTGAGTTGGTCACTTAAACATTATTTCCTATGTTATCAGTCCAAATTAAATCCGCTACTCAAAGTTGAACATTTGGCTCTTTAAAGCGCAAACCCTTCCTTAGGTCTTCAATAGTTCAGACCAACCCTTGGCGTTGAATCCATGAAGACAACTATTTGGTGACCACAAGTAAACTGAAGGTTTGGAGAGGGAGATGCCCCCATTTCTAAATTTACTTTCGTTTCTGTCTAATAAAATGGGGGTTGACAATTAATGCAATATACTTCTACAGCATACCAGAATTGGTAAAATGTTTTAAAAATTCTAACTGGGCAAGGGTCTCATAGTTTTGCATCTTATGAAGAGTCTCGAACTGGCTCTCTCTGGTTGACTTCTAGAGATCTGCGTCCACCCAAGGTTGCTTTCTGGTGAAACTACCCAGATGAAGGTGGGGCTCCTTGTCACTTGCTAAGGTATTTTACCTAGAATCTCCTGATTTTGAGTCCTATCTTACACTCAACCACACTCGCAGGGGGATATGTAGGCTAATAAAAGGCAAAGAGTCATTGGTTGGAACCCCACAGTTTCTACCGGGAGGCTTTGGCCAGAAAACAGAGAGCGAGTGGGGGTGGGAGGGGGGGAACTCCTCCATGCCCCTCCCGCCTGGACTTCAGGCCACCCCTCGCTGAAGCTGCGGATGGACAACCTCAGGTGAGCGGCTCCGGGAGGGGAGCCTGGAGGCTGGTCACAGGGCTCCCAGGCCTGTCTCTGGCCCTTCTCCGGGAGTGCTTTGACCTGAGCCGCCATTCCGCTTGGTCTTTTCCTGCAAAAAAAAAAAACACCTGCTGCGGAAGATCAAGTACACCTGACACCAGATGTAGTCAAAAGAAAAAGGAGAAGAAAAGAGAAAACCCTACCCTCCTTAATTCCGTTTGGTAAGAGCCCGGGCTGCCAAATCCATTACATAATGTCAGCTCAAGCTGACACCTGTGTGGGTGCTAAGCTGGATCGGGTTCTGGCGGCGGATCGGGCCTGAAACGCTGGCGTGGCAGCGTCCGGGCCAAAGGCCAAGGAGAAGAGGAACGAATTTCGGGCTGGGGGGCGGCGCTTCGGCCTGGGGAGGGAGGTGGAAACTGGATCTTGGAGGAGAGGCTTCAAGGGTGGCTCCCCAGTATCTCGCAGTTAAAAAAAAAAATCGAAGCCGCAGTTTCTAGGTTCTAGAGTTCTCTCAAGGAACATCCGTTGACCCCCGCTGCTC